TCCTTATCATCCTCCTCCTCCTTCCCCCACCTCCTCCCTCCCCCCACCTCTTCCTCCTCCCTCCCCACCACCTCCTCATTTCCTCATCTCCTCCTCCCAGCTCCTGGTATTCACCTTCATGACTCTTCTGTCAGGTTTTAGGGCACCAAAGAGACTTTCTTCTGCTTGTTCGGTGGTTTGTGACGGAGAAACGGGTGGATTTGGGGGCAGATGTTGCAGAATGTTCCACCGACCCCAGAAACCTATATCTGATGGATGCTGAAGATGGAGACTTCAGGACATTTGGGGGGGGAGTCATCATGAAGGGGCACCAGGTACTAACCACAAGTTCACTTTAAAAGGTACTCAGTCACAGCGCCTGTCCACCATGGAGAGCCGACATCCTCCTCCGGCCACATGCGAGATTCATGGCAGCCATTCCGAACTTGTCCTCTCAGCCACCGACTTGGGCCGAGTTTGCAGAACACATTGAAATGAATGGACGGCCGCTTCCATCGGAGCCTACCCACACATCTAGCACTCAGATATCTGTGACGGGCACTGCCATGCATGGGGCCCTACAAAGTTATGGACGGGCACTGCCATGCATGGGGCCCTACAAGGTGATGGGACGGGTGCTGCCATGCATGGGGCCCTACAAGGTGATGGGACGGTTCTCTTACATGCCTTCCGATGATACCAAAGAATAAATCATGACAATGAGCTGGAGAGGAGCGGAAACTCGGCCCAAAAAGTGTCCTCAAAGTTCATTATTGGGGCCGGTCACCGAGAACCCAACCAACAGAAGATGATGAACTCTTCCAGCTTCCTTCCAGGAGTTCTGAAAACCCGAAGAGAATCCTAAAGGACCCCTTATGGAACCCTCATGAAGCCCTCATAGAACCCTAAAGGACCCTCATAAAACTCTTGGGGAACCCTCATGAAGCCCTCATAGAACCCTCATGAAGCCCTCGGGGAACCCTCATGAAGCCCTCGGGGAACCCTCATGAAGCCCTCGGGGAACCCTCATGAAGCCCTCGGGGAACCCTCATGAAGCCCTCGGGGAACCCTCATGAAGCCCTCGGGGAACCCTCATGAAGCCCTCGGGGAACCCTCATGAAGCCCTCGGGGAACCCTCATGAAGCCCTCATGGAACCCTCATGAAGCCCTCGTGGAACCCTCGTGTGTTTTGTTTGCTATACATGTATGTGTTATGATTTCATGTCTCGGACCAGAAGAAGAATGCCGGAATGTCTTCTTGTTAAACCTTTGTGAAGGTAAACTTGTCTTTCTGGGTTGAATTAAAGGGCCAGTATGTATATTTCCATGGATCTGTGTGTGATGCATTCATAGTATTTATGGATAGACAGGTTCCGGGGCCCCTAGCGGTTAGATATTCCATGGAAGGACAGTGACATACACATGTGCAGAGGGGTCCCCCCCCCCCCTGCAGTCAGAAACATTCCTTCTTGGCCAGGGGACCTCTGCACACACTGGGGCCCCCATAGACATACAGTCCTCTCCCGGTCTGACAGATGCCGAGATTATTCAACAATCACTTCCATGTTATGGGCACAATAAGAGTATTGGGGAGAGCCTTAGACCAGACCATGTGACAGGGGGGGCAGCAGGGGGTGGAGGAGGCCAAAGGGCAGCTTTCTCGGGGGTTGCATGGTTTGTGTGTTCCTGTAGAAGAGCTTTTCTCTATTACTGCTTCTGGCACTTTCCTCCTTCCACAGCCCCCCCACCCCCAATCCTTCCATCTTCCTCCATCCCTTCTCTCCCTTTCCCCACTCCTTTCCTTCCCTAGTTATCTCACTCCAGTTACCTTCCATCCTCCCCTCCCACCTACATACTTCTCTCCTCTCCCTTCTCCCGTCCTTCCTCTCCCTTCTCTCCTCCTCTTTCCTCTCCCTTCTCTACTCCTTCCTATCTCCTTCCTCTCCCGTCTCTCCTCCTTCCTCTCCCTTCTGTACTCCTTCCGATCTCCTTCTCCACTCCTTCCTCTCCCGTCTCTCCTCCTTCCTCTCCCTTCTGTACTCCTTCCTATCTCCTTCTCCACTCCTTCCTCTCCCTTCTCTCCTCCTCCCTCTCCCTTCTCTACTCCTTCCTCTCCCCTCCTTCCTCTCCCTTCTCTCCTCCTCTACTCCTTCCTATCTCCTTCCTCTCCCTTCTCTCCTCCTTCTCCCCTCCTTCCTCTCCCTTCTCCCCTCCTTCCTCTCCCTTCTCCCCTCCTCCCTCCTCTCCCTTCTCTCTCCTCCTTCCTCTCCCTTCTCTCCTCCTTCCTCTCCCTTCTCCCCTCCTCCCTCTCTTCTCCTTCCTCTCCCTTCTCTCCTCCTTCCTCTCCCTTCTCCCCTCCTTCCTTACTATCCCTCCTCCCCTCCTCCCTCTCTTCTCCTTCCTCTCCCTTCTCCTTCCTCTCCTTCCTTACTATCCCTTCTCTCCTCCTCCCTCTCTTCTCCTTCCTCTCCCTTCTCCCCTCCTCCCTCTCTTCTCCTTCCTCTCCCTTCTCTCCTCCTTCCTCTCCCTTCTCCCCTCCTCCCTTCTCTCCTCCTTCCTCTCCTCCCTCTCCCTTCTCCCCTCCTTCCTTACTATCCCTTCTCTCCTCCTCCCTCTCTCCTCCTTCCTCTCCTCCTTCCTCTCTCTTCTCCCCTCCTCCCTTCTCTCCTCCTCCCTCTCTCCTCCTTCCTCTCCTCCTTCCTCTCTCTTCTCCCCTCCTCCCTTCTCTCCTCCTCCCTCTCTCCTCCTTCCTCTCCTCCTTCCTCTCTCTTCTCCCCTCCTCCCTTCTCTCCTCCTCCCTCTCTCCTCCTTCCTCTCCTCCTTCCTCTCTCTTCTCCCCTCCTCCCTTCTCTCCTCCTCCCTCTCTCCTCCTTCCTCTCCTCCTTCCTCTCTCTTCTCCCCTCCTCCCTTCTCTCCTCCTCCCTCTCTCCTCCTTCCTCTCCTCCTTCCTCTCTCTTCTCCCCTCCTCCCTTCTCTCCTCCTCCCTCTCTCCTCCTTCCTCTCCTCCTTCCTCTCTCTTCTCCCCTCCTCCCTTCTCTCCTCCTCCCTCTCTCCTCCTTCCTCTCCTCCTTCCTCTCTCTTCTCCCCTCCTCCCTTCTCTCCTCCTCCCTCTCTCCTCCTTCCTCTCCTCCTTCCTCTCTCTTCTCCCCTCCTCCCTTCTCTCCTCCTCCCTCTCTCCTCCTTCCTCTCCTCCTTCCTCTCTCTTCTCCCCTCCTCCCTTCTCTCCTCCTCCCTCTCTCCTCCTTCCTCTCCTCCTTCCTCTCTCTTCTCCCCTCCTCCCTTCTCTCCTCCTCCCTCTCTCCTCCTTCCTCTCCTCCTTCCTCTCTCTTCTCCCCTCCTCCCTTCTCTCCTCCTCCCTCTCTCCTCCTTCCTCTCCTCCTTCCTCTCTCTTCTCCCCTCCTCCCTTCTCTCCTCCTCCCTCTCTCCTCCTTCCTCTCCTCCTTCCTCTCTCTTCTCCCCTCCTCCCTTCTCTCCTCCTCCCTCTCTCCTCCTTCCTCTCCTCCTTCCTCTCTCTTCTCCCCTCCTCCCTTCTCTCCTCCTCCCTCTCTCCTCCTTCCTCTCCTCCTTCCTCTCTCTTCTCCCCTCCTCCCTTCTCTCCTCCTCCCTCTCTCCTCCTTCCTCTCCTCCTTCCTCTCTCTTCTCCCCTCCTCCCTTCTCTCCTCCTCCCTCTCTCCTCCTTCCTCTCCTCCTTCCTCTCTCTTCTCCCCTCCTCCCTTCTCTCCTCCTCCCTCTCTCCTCCTTCCTCTCCTCCTTCCTCTCTCTTCTCCCCTCCTCCCTTCTCTCCTCCTCCCTCTCTCCTCCTTCCTCTCCTCCTTCCTCTCTCTTCTCCCCTCCTCCCTTCTCTCCTCCTCCCTCTCTCCTCCTTCCTCTCCTCCTTCCTCTCTCTTCTCCCCTCCTCCCTTCTCTCCTCCTCCCTCTCTCCTCCTTCCTCTCCTCCTTCCTCTCTCTTCTCCCCTCCTC